TTATTATTTTTGACAATCCTTAACAAACTTTTGTATAAAAGTCGGCGGCAGCTGTGTACAAAAATTTTTAGAAGAACTGAAAAAAGGTAAACGGAAAAAATCTAGAAGTTTTGAAAGTTCGCGACGATAATTGGTATGAATTTTGAATAATTAAAAATCAAAGAAATGAAAATTTGTAAAATTACAAAATTGAGAAGTTCGATAATTTTAAAATTGAAAAATCATTATATAAAAAAAAAATGAAAAATTGCAAGACATGAATTTGAACAAGAGACGAGTATTATAATATAACACTATGTAGAACTGAGTGTGTAAGAGATTCTGAAATCAGTTGACGAAGAATTGTTGAAGCTCTAAAGAATTCCATTAAATCGAACATTAAACATCAGGACGCTTCGGGTAAAAACTCAAAACGGAACCATAAACTACATGTGTACTATGTACAATTTTGAAGTAACGTCATCACATTATTAGTGGGGATGACTAGACAAATTTTGGTTAGCGTCAGTGAGTGTAGATGTAAATACATAGTCACTGTTATTAGCGTTTTACTATCTACATGAAATTCCTAATATAAATACAAAATTTGACAACTATCGGCCCAGTATTTTGGAGATTATCTAATAAAAATCGGAAGGGCAGACGGGCAGATGGAAACGGGAGACTTATTTCTTCGTACACTAACCCAGTCCACGCGCTCTTTATTTTTTTAGAGGGATCTCATTTGACAAAATCAGTCTTACCTCAGCAGGTACTAAGGACCGCCCACCCACCCTCTCTTTTCTTCCAGGTTAAGTCATTTGGCAAAATCAGTCTCATGTTAGCAGGTACTAGCCCCGCCCACCCACCCTCTCTTTTTTTTAGAAGGTATCTCATTAGCCAAAATCAGTTATATCCTACAGTAGCTGCTGGATAAGTGGATTTTAGAACATGATATGAACAAAACTGAAGACCTGAGTCAATAATTTTTTTATTAGATAGTGATTGTTAGGTCGTTTTTGAAGATTCTGAAGAAGAAATAGAGAAGATCTGCTAGAAATTTTTTAACTTCCGAAAATTTTGTTTGCAACTAAAAATAGCAGACAGAAAATATTTAAAATTTTCAGTGCCTGTCAATCAAAAAATAGATTAATCCAGAAATAGGAAAACTGAAAATTCAGAAACGTCAAAATTTGAAAAATTAAAAGATCGTAAAATTGAAAAATGGAGAAATCCAAACATCAAAAAATCAAAAAAATAAAATTCGAAAATTTAAAAAATTGGAAAATTGAAAAATAGAAGAAAAATTGAAGAATCCAAAAACTGAAAATTTGATAAACCGAAAAGTCGAAAATTCGCAAACTTTAAAAATCGAGAAATTGAAAAAGCAAAAACTGAAAGATCGAAACTTTGGGAAGTCGAGAAATGGGAAAATCAAAAAAACAGATTAATCAAGAAATCGGAAAACTCAAAATTCAGAAACATCAAAATTTTAAAAATTAAAAAATATATGGGATAATTCAAAAATCGAAAAACCGAAAAGTAAAAAATCGAAAAACCGACAAATCGAAAAATCGATATATCGAAAAATCAAAAGATCAAGAAATTGAGGAGTCGAAAAGTCGAAAAATCTAAAAACTGAGAAACCGAAATCGGCCAAAATCGAAAAATCGAAAATCTAAAAATTCGGAAAATTGAAAAATTAAAATATAGAATTGGAAACTCGAGCGATCAAAAAATCTAGAACTCGAAAATTCGAAATACTAAAAAATCCCAAAACTCAAATATCGAAATATTGAAAAATAGAAGAAAAATTGAAGAATCGAAAAACTGAAAAGTCACAAAATTGAACGAAATATCCAAAAATTGAAAAATTGAGAAACCGAAAATTCAAAAAAAAGCGAAGTCGCAAAATCGCAAACTTAAAAAATCGAAAAATTGAAGAAGTGAAGAACTGAAAGATCGGAACTTTGGGAAGTCGAGAAATGGGAAAATCAAAAAATAGATTAATCGAGAAATCGGAAAACTGAAAATTCAGATACGTCACAATTTGAAAAATTAAAAAATATTGTACAATTGAAAAATCGAAAAATCTAAAATTTAAAACGTTGAAAAATCGAAAAATCTAAAATTTAAAACATTGAAAAATTAAAAGATCGTAAAATTGAAAAATAGAGAAATCCAAACATCAAATAATCGAAATTCGAAAATCTAAAATTTAAAAATCGAAAAACTGAAAATCAACAAATAGAGAAATCGAAACTCGAAAATTTAAAAAAATTTGAAAATTGAAAAATAGAAGAAAAATCGAAGAATCCAAAAACTGAAAAATCAGGAAATTAAAGGAAATATCCAAAAATTAGGAAATTAAAAAATTGAAAAATCAAAAACCTGAAAAATCGAAAAATTGAAGAACTGAAATATCGAAACTTTGGGAAGTCGAGAAAGGGGAAAATTAAAAAATAGATTAAACGAGAAATCTGAAAACTGAAACTTCAGAAACGTCAAAATTTGAAAATTTAAAAAATGTTGTAGAATTGAAAAATCGAAAAATCGAAAATTTAAAACATCGAAAATTTAAAATATCCTAAAACTGAAAAATGGAGAAATCCAAACATCAAAAAATCAAAAAAATAAATTCGAAAATCTAAAATTTAAAAATCGAAACTCGAAAATTTAAAAATTGGAAAACTGGAAAATAGAAGAAAAATGTAAGAATCCAAAAACTAAAAAATCAGAAAATTGAACTAAATATCCAAAAATTAGGAAATTAAAAACTGAAAAAACAAAAACCTGAAAAATCGAAAAATTGAAGAACTGAAATATCGAAACTTTGGAAAGTCGAGAAAGGGGAAAATCAAAAAATAGATTAATCGAGAAATCTGAAAACTGAAAATTCAGAAACGCAAAATTTGAAAAATTAAAAAATATTGAAGAATTGAAAATCGAAAAATTGAAAATATAAAGCATTGAAGAATTAAAATATCGTAAAATTGAAAAATGGAGAAAGCCTAACATCAAAAAATCAAAAAAAGAAAAATTGGAAATTCTAAAATTTGATAATTGAAACATCGAAAAATTGAAAATGTGAAATACAGAAGAACCGAAAACTCGATAAATCGAAAAACCTAAAATTGTAAAAACTGAAAAGTTAAAATATCGAAAAGTTGAAAAATTGAAAAATCCTAAGTTTAAAAAACGAAAAATTGAAAATCCCAAAAGCAAAAAGCCGAGAAATCGAAAAATCCAGAACTCGAAACATCGAGAAGTCGAAATACTAAAAAATCCCAAACCTCAGATATCGAAAAACTAAAAATAGGAGAAAAATTGAAGAACCCAAAAACTGAAAAATCACAAAATTGAACGAAATATCCAAAAATTGGGAAATTAAAAAATTGAAGAACTAAAGAACTGAATGATCGAAACTTTGGCAAGTTGAGAAATGGGAAAATAAAAAAATAGATTAAATGAGAAATCGTCAAAATTTGAAAAATTAAGAAATATTGAAGAACTGAAAAATCGAAAATTTAAAACATTGAAAAATTAAAATACCGTAAAATTGAAAAATGGGGAAATCTAAACATCAAAAATTTAAAAACTGAGATAACGAGAAATCGAAAAATCAAAAGCTCGAGAAATCGAGGAGTCGAAGAGTCGAGAAATCGAAAAATCGAAAATTTACAAATTCGGAATATTGACAAATTAAAATATAGAAGAACTGAAAACTCGAGTAATTGAAAAATCTGGAATTTTAAAAATACAAATTAAAATATCGAAAAGTTGAAAAATTGATAGTTCGAAACTATAAAACAGTCGAAAAAGCTTAAAAAAACGAAAAACTAAAGATCCAAAAAATTAAAATCTAAAAATACAGAAGTCGAAAAATCGAAGAATCTAATTATTGAAAAATCCCAAAACTGAAAGAAATATCCAAAAATTGAGAAATTAAACAATTGGAAAATTGAGAAATCGAAAAACCAATAAAGCAAAGTCGAAAAATCGAAGAATTGAAGAACTAAAAAAAATTGGAAAACAAAAATACTAATAAAATAAATATAAAGTGAAAAATCAAAAAATAGAGAAATCTAAAAATCCAAAAATTCGAAAATCTAAAACTGAAAAATCGACAAATCGAGAAATCCAAAGTTGAAAATTTAAAAAATTGGAAAATTGAAAAATTGGATAATTCAAAAATCGAAAAAGCGAAAAGTAAAAAATCGAGAAATTGAGGAGTCGAAAAGTCGAAAAGTGGAGAAATCGAAAAATTGAGAAACCGAAATACGCCAAAAATTTAAAATTTCGGAAAATTGAAAAATTAAAATATAGAATTCGAAACTCGAGCAATCGAAAAATTTAGAACTCGAAAATTCGAGAAATCGACATACTAAAAAAGCCCAAAACTCAAACTATCGAAAAATTAAAATAGGAGAAAAATTGAAGAATCGAAAAACAGAAAAATCACAAAATTGAACGAAATATCCAAAAATTGAGAAATCAAAAAATTACAATAGTCGTATGTAGAACCCCCATTCATATAAAAACAATGTTTAAGTGAAATTTTAGTGTTTGTTCCTTACATGTGAAATAAACACTTACAAAAAGCCGAATAACTGTTTAAATAGCGTAAAGTTTTATGCTTTCTAAGAAATGGATACCATTAACTTGGTCATTGCTGCTGAAAACTGAAAGTATCGGCAACAATGTTTATATTTCTGGCATATTTTTTAACCTTTAATTTAATAAAATATAACCTAACGAAAAAAGTTCAGGTAATTTTTATTCTTCTGCATCGAATACCAACAAACTCACTAGATTTTCATGGCCAACCCTACTATATAAAGATCGTGAACGGATAATAGTACTAAGCAATTATGTCTAAAAATCACACACATATTTTCTATTTTTTTTATGTCTAATCTGGAATGATCTACTCCAGTCACTTGATTAGTTAATTAGAAAAAAGTCAACATCAAACGGTTATTCCGTCATTTTGACTTTTTTTGACAAGTTTACAACTTTAGTTTTACCCATTATTTTCATATTATTTACTTACAATGTACTTATATCTTCTATTAATTGCGTTATCTCTCGACTTTCCATTAGTCAGTTCAGTCCATCGCGTCAGTGACAATTTACGTAAAAAACTCGACGCCGAAGAACAAAACGCCATATGCTGCATGAACAACTTAAAATGCTGTAAACGACAAGAACAATCCACCACTTTCGAAGTGAAATCCGTCATCACCGACTGTCCTAATCTCAAGTGCACAAACTGGTCAAAATCGCACCAAATCGTAGTCCACAATAACAAACCAGTAACCGAAAAACTGACCGAATGTAACCAGAAATTGCTCCTCACCATTAAAATAAACAACGAAGGCCTGCCGAGCGATAAAAGCCAGTATGTCATCATTGACCACATCACTGATGCCACGACTCTAAAAAAAGTAAGAATTTTGAACCCCTACGCCGTGAGAATTCGCCAAGATCCTGTTCTTCAAGTGTACGGTTTGAAGTTCGAGCGAGCTGTAAATTCAGAAGCCAAGTGCGTCACTAACGTTTTTACTTTTTTGGTTTTAAAACAAAATTGTTGCAGAGAGACCGTCTACAACAAATATAACCGAAACTACCGCGGTTGCGACACCGGAAACGAGAATCCCACGTGTGGTGTTGTTCAAAATGAAGGCAAAATTGTGCCTTACAGTACCGGATTTTGCTGTTCGTGCGATCCTGAAAAAAATCGGCTTAGAGAAGAGCACGCAAACGAAGGTCAATGGACCTTGGATGCTGGTGTACCTGAGTATCATAAAAATCATCCCGGAGAAAATGATTATGAACATTATAAACATTATGGATTTACAGGACGAGACGGTAAAATGGTTTATGGACGGAGTCAAAAGCGTGCCGACAAAAGTGTGAATTACCAACAATTTACTGAGTTAAAGGATGGTAAATAGCAGTAATTTTTTTGGACAACAAACTTGAGGTTTATAGAGGGGTGGAAAGAGCAACGACACCCCAATTCGGGGCCGCGATGTCAAAATAATTGTGATATTAAGGCGATCAAACACTAAACTGTTTTAATTATGAAAAGGACTTTGGGCTTAAGTACAGTGGTGTAACTTTTTCAGTTTACAAACTTAGGGTAGGTACAACCGGAGTAAAAACAAATAGATATTTTTCTATTTATTTAAGAATGATGTGTACTATTCGTTCCGTGTCATTCTGCTTCTATTCGTGTTCAAATTTGATTTTTATATATTAAAATTTCATAGTAAAATCTAAGACAAAACTTGAAGTGAATTCTAAAATATGATGCAGCAAATTGCAGAAAAATGAAAATTCAGGAAAAAATGAACTTACAACGAAATTTAAATAATAAAAATCTCATTTTAACACTAGTGGATGCGGAATCATAAGAGATTTCCCAAATTCACCAACCGACTTTTGAGTTGAATATTCAAATTTTTAAAATTTAATTTTTTTACCACAACATATTTTAAAATGTACTTAAAATTTTACCATAATTTTTTAGTAGTAGTAAAGTAATTGCATTCGTGTCTTTAAATTAAAAAATTGTTCGAAGATTATTTCGACAGAATTTCCCTCTTTTTCGATCATTTTATGGTTCACGTTTTCAATTTTTCGGTTTTTCAGTGTTTTGATTGTATTTTTTTTCCAATGTGAAATTTTTCAGTTTTTGTATTTTTCAATTTTTCGGTTTTCAGTATTTCGGTTTTTCAACTTTTAGATTTTTTAAATTTTCGTTTTTCAATTTTTAATTTTTCACTTTCTCGATTTTTCAATATTTCGTTCCTTCAATTTTTTTTGCAATTTTTCTAGTTTTGACTTTAAATATGCAACAAAAATTATATATTTTTTTAGATGTTCCACATTTTCAATTTAATAATTTTAGAATAACACCATTTTTCAATTAATTTTAAAACTTTAACATTTATTTCTTTTCCAATTTTGAATTTCTCGGTATTAATTTTTCAATTTTTCGATTTCACAATTTTTGGAATTTCCAATTTTTCAATTCGATGCGTTTTTCATCTTCACAATTTTTCAATTAATTTTTTTTTCAATTTTTTAGTTTCTTGATTTTTAGTTTTTCAGTGATTCAATTTTTAGATTCTTCAGTTCTCCGATTGGATTCTTGGATTTTCCACTTTTTCGATTCTTCAATTTATTCCGCTTTGTAGTTTTTCGCTTTCTAATTTTTCGATTCAAAAAATGGATAAATGTCAAAATTGGAACTCAAGAATTTGAAAAGTTAAATTGAAAAATCGAAAGACTAAAAATTGAGAAACTCAAAAATCGAAAAAGTGCAAAATCGAAAAAACGAAATATTGTAAAGTCGAAATATTGAAATTGGAGGAACCAAAAATTGCAAAATTGAATAATTTAAAAATTGGAAAATCGAACAATTGAAAAGTCGAAGATTGAAAATTTGAAAAATTGAATACAGGAAATATGATAAAATCGAAAGCAACGTTGAAAAACAAAGGAAATGAATTTCGGTTTAAAATTTCCCGAGTTTTCAATTTTTGTTCTCTAATGTTTCATTTCTTCAATTTTTCGGTTAAGTTTTTCCGTTTTCAACTTTTAGATTTTTCAATTATTCTTTTTTCAATTTTAGATTTTCCAGTTTCTCGATTTTTTATTTTTTCGTTTCCTCAATTTTTTGCATTTTTTCTAATCTGACTTTAAATATGCAATAAAAATTAGATATTTTTTAAAATTTGCCCATTTTCAATTTTATAATTTTATAATTTTTCCATTTTTCAATTAATGGATTTTAAAACTTTTACATTTATTAAATTTTTCAGTTTTTCAATTCATTAATTTTATTCAATTTTCTTGTTTCTTTATTATTAGTTCCTTCAGTTCTTCGATTTGCAATTTTTCGATTTTCCACTTTTCTGATTTTGCAATTTTTTTCAGTTTTTGGACTTTTCAATTTTTGAGCGTTGTAGTTTTTCGCTTTTTCAACTTTTCGAATCAAAAAATGGAAAAATTGCAAAATTGTGAAATTGTAATATCAAAAATAAAAAAAGAAAATATGCATATAAAATGAAAATAGTGAAAAATGTCAAAATTGGAAATCAAGAACTTAAAAAATTAAAGAAATGTAAAATTGAAAAATCGAAAGACTAAAAATTGAGAAACTCAAAAGTCGAAAAAGTGCAAAATCGAAAAAACGAAATATTGTAAAGTCAATTCAATTCAATTTTAGATTTTTCAGTTTTTCGATACTTCAATCTTTTGCAATTTTTCAAATTTTAACTTTAAATATGCAATAAAAATTCAATATTTTTTTATATTTTCCACATTTTCAATTTTATAATGTTAGAATTTTTCCATTTTTCAATGACTGGATTTTAAAACTTTTACATTTATTCAATATTCCGATTTTTAGATTCATTAATGTTTTTCAGTTTTCTAGTTTCTTGATTTTTAGTTTCTTCGGTTCTTTAGTTTGCAGTTTTTGGATTTTTCACTTTTTCTATTTTGCAGTGTTTTCAGTGTTTAGATTTTTCAATTTTTCCACTTTGTAGTTTTTCGCCTTAATTTTTCGATTTTACAACTTTTCGAAACAAAATATGAAAAAATTGCAAAATTGTGAAATTGAAAAATCAAAAATAAAAACAGAAAATATGTATACAAAATGAAAACATTGAAAAATGTCAAACTTGGAAATCAAGAACTTGAAAAATTAAAGAAATGAAAAATTGAAAAATCGAAAGACTAAAAATTGTGAAATTCAAAAATCGAAAAAACGAAATATTGTAAAGTTGAAATATTGAAAATTGAAGAAAACAAAAATTGGAGAAAACCAAAAGAGCAACTGAAAAATCTATGATTAAAAATTTGAAAAATTGAATAAACGAAAATTATAAAATCCAAAGAAACGTTGAAAAATAAAGGAACTAAATTTTGATTTAAAATTTCTCCAGTTTTCGATGTTTCGATTCTTTAATGTTTCATTTCTTGAATTTTTTGGTTTTTGAATGTTCAGATTTTATAATTTTTCTTTCTTCGAATGTGAAAATTTTCAATTTTTGGAGTTTTCAATTTTTTAGTTTTTCAACCTTTAGATATTTTAATTTCTCGTTTTTCAATTTTAGATTTTTTAGTTTCCCGATTTTTCAGTTTTTCGTTTCGTCAACTTTTTTGCAATTTTTATAATTTTGACTTTAAATATGCAATAAAGATTATATATTTTTGAAAATTTTCCACATTTTCAATTTTATAATTTTACAATTTTTCCATTTTTCAGTTACTGGATTTTAAAACTTTGACATTTATTCGATTTTCCAATTTTTCGATTTTTCAATGTTACAGTTATGCGATTTTACAATTTTGACAACTATATTATAATTTTCGATTTTACAGTTTTTGGGTTTTCCAAATTGTCGATTCGATTCGTTTTTTCTTCTTTCCAATTTTTCGGTTGATTATTTTTTTAATTTTTTAGTTTCTTGATTTTTACTTTTTCAGTTATTCAATTTTTATTTTCTTCAGTTATTCGATTTGCGGTTTTTGGATTTTCCACTTTTTCGATTTTTCAACTTTTCGAATAAAAAAAATGGAAAAATTGCAAAATAGTGATCTTGAAAAATCAAAAATAAGAAAAGAAATGTATAAATTGAAAACAATGAAAAATGTCAAAATTAGAAATCAAGAAATTGAAAAATTAAAGTAATGAAAAATTGAAAGACTAAAAATTGAGAAAGTCAAAAATCGAAAAAGTTCAAAATCGAAAGAACGAAAAATTGTAAATTCGAAATACTTATTGAAAATTGAAGAAATCAAAACTCGGAGAAACCCCAAAATTGCAAAATTGAATCATTTAAAAATAGGAAAATCGAGCAATTAAAAATCAAAGATTCAAAATTTGAAAGGTTGAATAAACGAAATATTATAAACTTGGAAGCAACGTTGAAAAATAACGAATAACAAAAAATTGTTTTGTAAAAATGAGAAAATGAGAATTAAAGAATCGGGAAAATGAAAAATAAAAATCAAAAACTTGAAAAACTGAGGAAAGAAAAAATTGAAAAATCGAAAATTAAAAATTGGCAAGTCAAGAAATTGACAAAATTAAAGTTGAAAAAACAAAACCGTGAAATATGGAAAAAATAAAGAAAAAATGAAAAAGTGAGATTTCAAAAAATTGCACAATGGAAGGAAAAGAAAAACCGAAAAATTGTGACATCAAAAAATTGGTCAAAGATATACAGACTTTTTGAAAAAGCGTCATTCTTGATTTAATCAATATAATATTTTCCCTCATTTATTATTTTTTTTAATCACTTTGTACAAGTAAAGTCATAATACTTATTTTGCATATTTCAGAGTTGATTTATTCGGTAAAATTTTCAGATGACGTCATCAATTTTTTGGAAAGGGATAAACCACACGTAAAGGAGTACTTTATTTTATCAAATTAAAATAATATTTAATTTACTAATGTAAATTTTGGAAATGACGTCATCCTATTGTTAATGGGGGGTTTATCCATCCGAGTCTTTGCTTGAGATTAAAAATTTTTACCTTAAAGTCAAAGATCGTTGTCGATTTTAAAATTTTTAATGATAAAAAAAATCTCGCATGTTGAAAATTTCAATGCACCTTTTGTGTAAGTAACAAAGACTTTTTTTTGTAAATTTTTAAAAACATACATTGATAAAAAACCAAGAAACGCAACTCTAAAATTATGAAAATTCAAGAAATAATTCGAATTTTAACACGAATATAAGCGGAAAGACAAACTTTGTGATATTTTGTATAAAATTCATATATCAACTTCTTCAGAAATTGATAGATTTTTGACTGACGACACCTCCGCGAGTTTTGCTGTATGAAATACAACTAATGAATAAAAATGTGTGTACCAGTAAGTCCAGCCACTCTACTAGAATTTTATAAAAATGCGTAAAACCATTCGTGAAATAGACATACTTTGCTCTTTGAAACAGCTTGTTTAGTCCAGGTACCAGATTAGACGGAAATGTCTTTTAGGCCCGTAACAATACAATTATGACTACAACAAAGACATAAATAAACGTCAGAGACGGCTTTGAGTTTTGCCGCCCGTCAAGTGCACCAAGTAGGCCGAAAGGGTTTGTTCATTCCGACGCAGTTACTCACGTTTACAGAAAACCGGACCGACTTTCTATAATTTTCACATAAACGTTTAATTTTTTTTTTACAATCAAGTTTTTTTTTTTTTAGGAAAATTTCGGCAGCGTCGTGGTGGTCAAAGCTGCGACGACGTCGATTTAGATAGCCTCCCTGAATCTTTCCACGAAAGCACCCACTGCCTCACCTTCGCCAACCTCTGGTACTCCGTCTATCAAGTAACCAAACCCAAAATCGTCCACCGTCTCCGCATCCAGATCTTCCAAAAATACGAAGACTGCCACGGGAACACCCACTGGATGGATTTAACTTTGGGAAAAGTCATAGAACTAGGCACCCAGAAACTCTCCTTCGTCGACAAAGACTTCGTCGCAAGGTACTGCGCGGAAGAAATAGACATGAACGACGCAGCTCTAGATTACAGAAGCTTGAAGCTGTTAATCCCCGAACGAAGAGTGGTAGATCCTGACCAGTTCATGCTTCTACCCAGAAAAATGATGTCTGACGATGGCAAAACTTGCGACACTGTGGGTGTGGGGTACGAAGCTTTCAACAAACAAAAAAAGAGGTGCGCGTTACCACAAGGATCGTGTCTAGGAAATCAGCCGAAGCAGCTTGAAGAAGGTGACATCCAAGCGGAACGAGAAGGAAGACCTGGAAACTATTTTTTGAAGTTCTTTGGTACTTTGGCTGAAGATCCTGTAGGGTACAACTCCACAGGACAAATCCAGTACATCAAACTAGTATATATGAAAAGGCACGTCAGTAACTTATTTTTCGAACTGAACGCTGACTTGGTGACTTTATTGAAACCGAATGCTTACGCAACAATCACTGAGATCTACACAGATGCCACAAATCCAGAAAAAACACGAATAATAGTGAAAGTGACGAACTCGGGACTTCTGTATGGTGTTTTCTATGTGCGGATGAGTGGATGTCCTTTGGATGTTCCAGCAACTTTCAACAACATCGCTTCCAAATCAGTACTTATACCAGCACAGCACCAACACATCTTCAATCTCTACATTGAGTATTTTCTTCCGGTCAGAGATCTGTATTGTACCATCCATGTCCACAATATCAATCAAGAAATGTTAGCGGTTCGTGAAATCAGGATTCATAGGTACGACCGTTGTATATGTATTTGGCACTGCGAATGCGTTTGCTACGTCGCAGATGCAGGTCTGAAGTGCTACCCCATGAGTTTGAACAGCTACCATGCCGCTGGGTTTCAAGGTGGTTTCCCAGAAGCAACCCATCTAGTTGAGTCGTCGTACCTAGATGAACTCCTAGCGATGTTCTTCCACATGTTCATTTTCTTAATTCTGACACTATTGATAATGGGTTTGATTAAAGCTCTTTTGGGGTTGTGTTCAAAAGAGATTGGTCTGTGGGGTCTGGATACTATTCTGGGTACTGAAAAACCAGACGTGATATGCGATAACAAAGATTGTGAGTACCGGAACGATGTTGGAATTTCTGTAGCTGGACAGTTTTGCTTGAATGTGATGTTCTTCTTCTTGTATCCTTTGGCGTTGTTCAACCTCTGTATTAGAAAGTTTTGCTTTTCGGCTTATACTTTGGAAGACGATGAGTGTAGTTGTGAGGAAAGATGGATTAATTATGAGGGTGAAGATGATCTCTGTCCTGGTAAGAGTTCCAAGAGTTCGGGGGGAGGGGAGGAGCATGGAAGTAGTAATTTTTCGATGAAGTATACCACGAGTGAAGATAAATCAGTGGGGGAAAATGAGTCTGTCAGCGGGTTAGCCAAGTAAGGGGGATAGAAGAAATACTTTTATTGTATTTTTTAAATAGATAGATGATTTACTGTGTAGATTTTTACCTTCTGGGTTTAAGCTAAAGAAGTTTACGTTTCCGTTTCCGTCTGTCTGTCTGTCTGCCTGTCTGGCTGTCTGGTGTCTGTATCTATTTTTATTAGACAAGTAATCTCCGAAATTACTGGACCGATTGTTGCCATTTTTTGTATGTATATTAGAAATATCATGTAGATGGTTAAACGTTAACTAAAATTTGGCTAATCATTCCCACCACCATTGGGATGATGTCTCCAAAATTTACAATAAAAAGTCTTTTTTAATTTTACAGAATAAGATACGTCTGGACTTGTGGGTGAGAATCCGTGTCCAATTTTCACCCTAGACATCTAGAGATTTTGGAAAAAATTCAAAAGTGAATAACAATATTTTGCAATATAATTTTGCAAAACCGATTGCTCTGAAATCTTGTAAATATTTTAAGGTTATCATAGTCTTGGCAAATCGTTAATCAAAATTAATTTGTTTAGACCCCTCCAATGAATTGATGACGTCATCTCAAAATTTTGCCGATTAAATCCTATCCAAAATGTGATAAGTTTATACTTGTGATTTATCGTTGCATTAAAAGTTTGTAATTTCTTGTACAGGGTGACTCACAAAAATTAATGAATGAGTCCATTTAATTTTTTGATTAAATCGGGAACGGCTCATTCCATTTTCCAAAAAATTGCGTCAATTTTTGTATGTATATTAGAAAGATCGTGTAGATGGTAAAACTCTAATCAAAATTTGTCTGATGAAAACCGTCTTACCATTTTGCACAATGATAATTTTAGAAATTACAGAAATTCTAAAATTCTAACCGAATTTGTGGAAAGATTCCAAATGTTGTGAAAATCCCAAATATTCTAATCCTTTTAAGCATTTTAAGGCTTTCAAAGATGCCAAAAACTCTAAGGACTGCAAGGATTTTAGAAATTTAAAAAAATTTAAAAAATGCTAGAGAAGCCTTCAATTTAAAAATTCTGAAGACATTTCAGGAATTTAGAAAATTCTCAAGATTCTACAGATTCCAAATAACTAAAAATTGGAAAGATGATGAAACTCTTAAAGATCTGAAAATATTTAAAATTCTAGAAATACTGAAGTACAGTATAACCTCGATAATCCGAATTAATTGGGGAAACATGTGTTCGGATTAGCGATTTGTTCAGATCAGCGAATTTCCCAAAAAGCTGAAAGGGAATTGAACAACAACTTCATACACTGCTGAAAACAAATTTCAAGAAATAAACCTTAATTTTATTAAACATAAATAAAGTATTCTTAACCAACAATGGATAATAGATAGGTACATTCGAAAAAAAAAAATACTCTGTGACCATAACAACGCTATATTTTTGGAATCAACACGTCGGGATCTATATTCGTGAATTTAATCAGAATTTTTAGATGACTTATTCAAAAATGAAATTTCCCATTATATATTCGTATTATCTCCCTGATGCAAATTTCGACCCATTCTCATTGATTTTCGAAATTTAACAAAATACTTCCATGAAAATTTTGGGCCACAGAAGTCACTTCTGGCTTCATTTCTTCGATAACTTAAACCGTTTTTCCAGAATCGTCCATTGAAGTATCGCAATTTTCAAAAATTTCAAAAAATCGGAATTTCATATCGAATTTTCCGAAAAATTGCTCTGTTACCATAAACATGCTATATTTTTGGAATCAGCACGTCGAGATATATATATATTTCTGAATTTTTTCTGAATTTTTAGGCAACTTTTTCAAAAATGAAATTTCACACTGCGGTAGTACTTGCCAAATAAACTACCCTCTAAGAAAATAAAAGGCGGGTGGGCCAAGCTAGTATTTACCAAAATAAAACTCATTTCGACAAATGACCTACTCTTTGAAGAAAAGGTACTAGCCCCGCCCACCCACCCTTTATTTTCTTAGAAGAGTAGGTCATCTGCCAAAATCAATCTTATCTTGGCAAGTATGAGACTGATTTTTGCAAATGACATATTCTCTAAGAAAATAAGGGTGGGTGGACGGGGCTAGTACTTGTCAAGATAAGACTGATTTTGGCAGATGACTCAGTCTTCTAAGAAAATAAAGGGTGGGTGGGCGGGGCTAGTACTTGTCAAGATGAGACTGATTTTGGCAAATCACATATCCTCTAAGAAAATAAGGGTGGTTGGGCGGGGCTAGTACTTGTCAAGATGAGACTGATTTTGGCAAATCACATATCCTCTAAGAAAATAAGGGTGGGTGGGCGGGGCTAGTACTTGTTAAAATAAGACTGATTTTGCCAGATGACCCACTCTTCTAAGAAAATAATGGGTGGGTGGGCGGGGCTAGTATCTAGCAAATTTCGACCCATTTTCGACGATTTTCGAAATTTAACAAAATACTTTTTCTTGTAGATTTCGGGCTACAGAAGTCACTTCCGGCCTCATTTCTTCAATAACTGCAACGTTTTCTCCAGAATTACTTAATTAATACAGTGCATTGAAATATCACAATTTTTAAAAATTTCAAAAAATTCAATCCAACACGTACAGAAAGATCTTGCGTCATTTTTGCAAGTACGTACATGTTTTCAAGTTCAGTTCGGATTGCAGAGTTTTTGTTCGGATTACTGGATGTTTGGATAATCGTGGAGGTAGAGGTTATACCTACTGTATCTAAAAATGGAGCAAACCTGAAAGCTCTAACGATTATAGAAATTCTGGTGACTCTAGATTCTAGAGATTCTAAAAATTCCAACGTTTCCAATGGTTTGATAGATTCAAAAAGTATAAAAGTTTTCACGGATTAAATACACTAGAAATATCTAAACTAAAGTTCTAATGTTCTAAATATAAAAAAGATCTAACAAAATCCTAAAAATTTTAAAGAACCTGGGAGTACCAATGATTCTAGAAATTGCAGTTTATGAAACTCCTAGTAATTCCCAAAGTGTTCAGAATTTCCACAAATTTAAAATGTCTAAAGGGTCCAAAGACTCTAAGGTCTCTAAGGGGCCAAAAGCTAAAATTCTGTTTCGAATACTTGAAAGATTCTAAAGGTTCCAGAGAAATTCCAAAAAGCCAAAGATTCTAAAACTCGCAAAAATCGCGTGAACTCTTAACATGCCCCAAAATTTTAAAAATTCCCAAGAAAACAAAAATCATAAAAGATCTAAAAATCGTGAAGCTCGGAAAAATGATTTTTTTAATTTTTAGAAATCCTAAAAGCACTGAAGGTCTTGAACACCCTGATTATTATTTTATAAATCTTGGAGACTGTAAACATTCCAAAAATTCCAAAGATTTAGACTCTCGAGATCTATAAATTTTAGAAAATCTGAAAAAATTTAGCAAGTGGGAAGGATGTGGTAGACCTAGAAATTTTGAAAATATTGGAACAGGTTGAATTTCAAAATTCTAGTATAATTGGAGCGTGATAATTTTAGAAATTTTGGAAAATGTGGAAATTCTGGTCATTTTGTATACCACGGAAAATGTGAAAAATTGGACTTATCTGGAAAAACTGAACATTCTGAAAATTTTGAAAATTTTGCAAAGTACGAAAATTCCCAAAAATTGAAAGAAAATAAAAAAATATTGAATCTTAAAATTTCAAAAGTTTCCACAACCTTAAGATTGTAGATATTCTAAAAATTCCAAAATTAAAAAGTTTCAAACCTTTCAAAAATTCTAAAGACTCGACACATTCTAAGAATCTTCTCACTAGAATTTGCGAATTGTAAAGACACCAAAGATGCTAAACAAAATCTTAAAAATTGTAAAGATCTTGGAAGTAGGTTCCTAAATTATAAAAATTATAAAAATTCTAAACTTTATAAAATGTCTAGTAATTCTGAAGTATGCAAAATTTCCAAAGATTGTTAAGATTCTAAAGATTTTAAATACTCTAAGGACTCAAACGTTAAAAAGCTTTTTAAAATTATCTTCCAAACATTTCAAAGATTCTAAAATTTGCAAAAATCGTGTGAACTCTTAAAATGCCAAAGATTTTAAGAATCCCCAAGAAAACAAAAATCTTAAAGACCTAAAAACTTGATGAGATCCTTAAAATTCTGGAAAAATTCTACATTTTGTGATGTTTCTTTTTTCACTAATTTTCCATATTTTTCTTTGTTGTGTTTTTTAGCGCCTTATTTTATCGTCGTTTTATTGTCGCTTTATTTTTTTTTTTATTTTATTTGTTCTAATTTTTTAGCTTTGACGCCTCGATTAAAAAAAACAACATTTTATACTTTAACCTAGAAAGTAATAAACCGATTGGCCTGAAATCTTGCAAGTATTTCAAGGGTAAAATCTTGAAAATTGTTTTTTATCTTAGCACGTACTGGCCCCGCCCACCCACCCTCTCTTTTCTTAAAGGGTGTCATTTTGCCAAAATCAGTCTTATCTTAGCAAGTACTAGCCCCGCCCACCCACCCTGAATTTTCTTAGAAGGAATGTGATTTGCCAAAATGAGTCTTATCTAAGCAAGTACTCAACCCTGCCACCCACCCACGATCTTCTCATTCTAATGACTAATTTTATTTCTGTTCAATATGGTATCCACTTTCATTCAGAACAGAGAAATGAATCACGCATTGCAGGCGGGGTGGGTGCGCGGGGTTAATTTAAATTAATTTTTTTTTTTAGAGTGGGAATGAGGCTGTTAAAGAAAAAAAATCTGTCTACATTTGCGGTTAAACAGAGTTTTTATACTTTTTTTTGGTTGCTTTTTCGCCGTCTTTTTATTCTTATTTTTTCGTCTTCTTCATTTAATTGCTTCTTTTTAACTAATAATTTTAACTTCTATCATTTTTTGTAAAATTTTTAAGTCCATTTTTCAAAATTTTCTCTTATTTGAGTCTCTTTTTATGTCGCTTTTGTTGCGTTTTTTTTCCGTCTTTTATCTTGTCGTGTTTTTTTGCTTGTGTCGCTTTTGGTTTCTTTTTTTGTGTTTTTTGTGGATTTTTTATCGCCTTTCGGTGGGTTTTTTTGCTTCTTTCGTCTCTTTGTGGTTTTTTGACGCTTTTTATTAC